TCCTTGATCATCACCCATGCAGCCAAAGTACACATAGCCAATATTGTTGTGGTAACTCTTAAAGGGTTTCTTCAGGTAGGCAAAACAGCTTAAGAACTCACAGTCCTCCACTGTTAATAACAGAATATCAACAGGGAGTTTGACATATTTGCTCCAATCAGAAGATGTGTCTGGAAGATCACTCATCAGTGGAAGTGTGACACTGAGCTTTGGTGGGCTGGCTTTACTATTCTGTGCTGATCTATTCTCCCCTGACACTAGTACTGTCTCTGAAAACAAAGAATGGAGTTTTATTATTTTTCCATTCATTCATTACAAGTTATTAGCTGATCTACATGAAATCAAAGACAACGTAGAAAGAGAATAGAAAACCAGTTATCAATAATATACATGTATCAATGAGTCCTTGACCAGGCGTAAAACAGTTTATTACATTCATACTGAGATTTACGCTCCAATAAGCATTGAGATTAAAATAGTCTCTTTGCGCTAGAAGAGCCAGCTGATTGGTCATATGATTTTTTTTCACTAGTGAAAAACGACGTATCGACGCTCTGATTGGCTATATCATTATTTTCACCAGTCAACAAAACTGTGCCGCTTGCTTGCCGCTCCTCTTGACTGACAAATAGCACATTTATAAGAGCTTAGGCACATTTTTCTTTAGAAAGATGGCTTCAAATCAGACTAACCATTTCCAGAGCCTAGATTCATCAGTAGAAGAGTTCATACACAAACACGAAAATGAAAACACCAAGAAAAAGACCAAACATGATGTCGCTCTGTTCCACGAATTTCTTGTTTTAAAAGGCGAAACGAGACAAATGGACCGAGGTAAGTCTCGGATTTTCACTTCTTTATTTCAAAATTTTGAACTTAAATCTGTTAAGGTTTCACAAATAATACTGATACAAGTGGATTTACTCTGTCAATGATTTTCATATTGTTTCCATGGCCCAGTTGTATTCAAACTTGTACTAAAAGTTCAAAGTCTAAGTTTAATCTACCAATCAACTTAAGAGGTAATTGTAATCAAATGTCATTGAAAAGTAGAAAAAAACACATG